GAATTTTTTCTCCACACCCTTAAGAACATATTTTCGATAGTCTGTGTAAGCTTGTCATCAGACTCTTCGTGCTTGAACTGCCCCAGCAATCTGTTTCAAGTCAGAACTAAAGGGGATTTTAATGATAAAAATACCCAGAGGAAGTGAAAATAGAAGAAGCAAAGTATTCTGCAGGGGATTCTCTGCTTGCTTTACTTTTGTCTCAGCAGAACAGACTTGGGTTTTAGCACAGTGCATCACAGCATTTATGATGACTGGGATTTTTTTAAAGAAAACTTTTTTTTCTGAGGAATTGTGGCTAGTGCAGCTACTTTTGTTCAGCTTATCCATTATCTCCCGAGTAATTTCACTTCTCCTCATCACTTCTCACGCGATACACAATTCCAGTATATATGGAAATTGTAATTGAAGCTTACAGATAACTTTTGACCTACAGATGTGTATTATACCTGGCTGAAAGCAAAGGTCATACTGGCTGAGACCCTGTCTGAAAGCTGTTCTGTCCACTTGTAAATGATAGCTGGAGTACCCATAATTATTGCAGCAAAATGCAGGTGGATTTCCCTCCCCCCCCCTTCCTTTTTATACCTACCGGTGCTTTGGAACATTTACCTTCAGCAGTGATACTCTATGTGGAAGGAAGAGCATTAATAAAGTTTATAGGAAGCATTTTACGAACTGGAGTATAGCTGTAAAAAGTAAGGAAATGCATTTAAAGTCTATCACAGCCTCACCTCCCCTGCGGCTGTTGTGAACCCTGTGTGTGTGCAGAGCCTCAGTGCTCCATTGACTCAAATAGCTCTCTCTCCTTCTGAAACTGCTGATAAGTTTTAAACCTGAGGGTGCTGAGCCTTTTGTTCATAGGCACCTGAAGAAGCTCTTGAGATGCACCTTTCTGCAGCCACTTCTCCCAAGCTGTGAGCCTGGTCTCGGGTGGGAGGAGCGGGACCAAGTGTCCCGGCGGCTGTGACGCTGAGGTCCTGCCGCGTTGGCACCGTCTGCCAGCCACCATTTTCATAAATTTTCATAAATTTAGAGCCTTATCATTTTAGTGGGCAGCAAGGGCACATGCTGCCTTCCTCCAACAAAAGCCTTCTGAGCAGGACAGTGGGCACAGCCGGCGCGTTGTGGAGCTGGCAAGCTTTGGGAAGCGGCGGAGTCTCCTATCATTTAATAATGTAATGTTATAATCTCCTGTGAAACCCTTATTCGAGGCAAATTCATTTAAAGTGGCAAACAAGTGATGAACTTGAAGAATGGGACGTGACAAGTGATTTTTACTTGATCACGAATAGAATACCCAGTTTCAGGATTGTGAGAATCTGGGGGAAAAATGCTTAGTTGCAAAATGGTTGCATGCGTGCTGACCGACTCCCAGAGCTGCAGCGTCTAGACAGAAAATACAGAAAAGCAGGTTGTGTCACTTAAATGTGATGTCTGAACCTGTTAGTTTGAAACGTATTCTGGAGTAAAAATTATGCAAAATTAAATTAGTGTGACCTTACTTTGCATTTGGAGGCTGAATATGCCCATCTTGTAAAGCCTAGTGCATTTATAACACTTCCCTTGGGGGAAATTACAGAGAGAAATGGAATGAGGTCTCTTCTAATTGAAAAGTGACAATGATTAGGAAGCCAAATACAAAATGTGTTGAGTATTTTTTTTCTTGTTTTGTTGTGTGTGTGTTTTTAAGAATACCAGTAGAATTATAAATTATGTGCTTTGCAGTTTAGCTTGTTTTTCATTCCCCGAAGGCTTTTTATTAGCATAGCAGCTGAATTGCACTTGTATAATAATGTATTAACTCAGAGTTTGGGTTTTTAATGATCTTTCTTCATTAGTTTGACTGAGCTGTTTGGATAAAATCTTACAGACTATATCCAGCTTTCCAGTGTGTTGGGGTTTTTTTCCCCCTTCTGCAAATGAAGCCCATGAAGATAAGGTAAAACAGAGGGAGAGTTGTCAGACTTCGGTGCCTTGAGTGGGTATGAATCTCCTGAAACTTGAAAAGCACAAATTTGAGTGTATGGGACTTTTTTTGGTTTGGTTTGATTTTTATTTTATTTTTTCCAAAGGCCAGATTAGGCAACGTGAGTGTTCTTGGGGTTAAAGCTCATCTCAGCATAACCTGATAAATTTGCTCCTAGACAGTGCCAGGCTGTGCTGCTCCTCGCAGGCTGGACTTGGAGTAAAGCAAAACTCGGGGTGCGGAGAGCAGAGGTTCCTGGTGGGTTTGACCTCCTTGTGTATGTGTACAGCTCTGGGAAGAAATTATAATTTCAGCAGCACCACCAAAGAAGACATTGGAGCAGGTGTGTTTCTCATATATGATACTTAAATGTTTGAGCCCTCATCTGTGTTGCAGGACAAGGGTAGATGAGCTCTGCTGCAGTGATGTTTGCTTCCCTGCGCTAACGAAGGAGATCAGAGAAGAGCGAGGCTGTTGGCATGAAAAGTCCAAAGTCCAAATGGGTGAAGCTGATCAGGTTTTATCATTCAGACATGTTTCACCAAACCTGTTTACATAATGTTAATTTGCAGCTTAATTGTCCTCCTTCCTCCTAAAAAGCAAGATATTGAAATCACTCTTCTATTGATAACACCAGTGCGATGCAGTAACATTAGACTAGATTCCGCATTGAAATGCCCCAATTTGTGAGGTGTGGCTGAGCCCTGCTTGTGTCTCCTGGCCTTGTCCCGTGGTCCCTGCAGAGCTCCAGCTCCTCCAGCTCCAGGAGAACATGAGAGGGAGACATGGGGCAGGAGTCCCTGCTGGAAAGCAGCATCCCCTTCATTCTGGTAACTGTACTGTGCCTTACTGTTGCAGCTCTGGGCAACTACTTTGTAATACCCCAATTACAGGAGTCCCAGAATCAGAATAAACAGCGTTCAGGGCTGGGTGGCGATGGATGAGATGCCAGTGTGTTGTCCCTGATCGTGATGGCATTTCCCATCTTTTCTTCCACTTCATGCTCTGCTCATTATATGTCTGTACCTGTGTGCAGGGAGCTTGGCTGAGGTCCTTTGTAAACGACACGTCTCGTGTGTTCCTCACTAGGGCAGCACTTCCTGATGGCCAAAACTTCTTCTGTGCCACCAAAGTACTATGACCAATTTATCAAGGTTTTGTTCATTTAAGGAACCTCTCATTCTAGGACAGGAGCTTTCCTCTTGAACTAACTTGGTCTTGTTTTCCTTCAGAAATATAATCTCTTTTAACAAAAAATAAAGTTTTCCATCATTGGAAAACTAGCCTATTTTTTTTTTTCCTTTCCTTGTGTTTTCTTACCATGGCCAAAGCACATGCTGCATTTTGAGGATAAATTCTTCCTAAAACCCTTGACCGTGTTTTTGTTTTGTGTTTTGTTTTATTTTGTGTAATTAATTCTGCAAGAAGCAAGCTCCATGCCCGTGGCTGCTTTCCAGCCCATGTGTAGGTGAGGCAGAGGGGCTCTGGGTCAGTGCCCATGTGGGGTCTGTCTCTTCACAGGTGGCCTGGAGAGCACCCAGGGGAGTCTGTGGGGCATCATGATTTTTTTCCAAGCTCTTCCCCTCACAGTGGCATTTGGGCACCTTGCTGGGATTGCTGTGAAAGACCCAGAGCTCCTATTTTAAGAAGATGCTTTTAGCTAAAACTCCTGTGCAATGTTTGGCTTTTAACCCCTCTCTTCCCACCCTGTGTGCAATCTTCCAGTGCAGAGGCAGCTGTGTTTTAGGGGTGCTGTAAATATATGGGCTCCAAGTCATATATTTAACTTCAAGTGCCAGATAAGGCTCCTACTTTCAAGGTGTAATTCTGCTTTGTGAAGGTGGTGGGCAGAGCTGGTTAAGTGTTTTGGGCAATGGCAGAAATAGCTGCTGTTTAGCAGAGTGAGCTCCAAGGTAACTGGCAGCACTTACCACCTGGACTGTTTTCTTGACATTTATTTGCTTTTACTGGCACTTAAATGCCACCTGCCAGGAGAAAACTTGCCGCAAAAAAAATAAAATAAAATTTGTCTGATTCAGCAGAAGCCACTCCAGCTGGTACAAGTGGTGTGGTGCTGCCCTTCAAGGCGTGATGGGTCCTCCTATGTACGCACGGATATATACGTGTGTGTCTGTATAGATAAAATACAGATGGCAGTATCCATGATAGCTCAGGGCACAGCTTTCCAAAATGGGATTTTATAGCTGTCCCTACTGAGAAAAAAACAAAGTTTAAATCCCCAGAACTACTGAATGTTGCTGGTCTGGCCCCTCCATTACAAGCACTGGAGTTGCTGATGCCCAGCCCTGGGCACGGCGAGCCCTAGGTGCTGTGGGCAGGAGGGGGCTCTGGGTGAGCAACTGAGCAGTTTGGGGGTGGCATCTGCTCTCTGGGTGCCAAATGCATGGAAATAATGACCCCAGCACTACATCTGCCTCCAGTACTCAATTTTCCTTACCCTCAGAGAGGTGTGAGGAATTATTTCCTTAGGAAATTTTAGGAGCGGCTTCTTACTGTCTCCTGCCAAGTGTCTCTGGAGTTAACCGGATAGTCTGTTGTTTGCTTGTTCTTGTTTGTTTGGAGGAATTTTGGCAGTTTTCCTTTATGCCAGTTCAAGCCGCTCAAGCTGCTGCTGTCAGCTGGCCGAGCCCTGAGCTGAGGGATGTCTGGAGCTCCGGGATGGAGCCCCTGCGGGCAGCAGCATCGCACCCGTCTGGCATCACCAAAAAGCAGGAGGTCTCCCCGGCTGTGTCCTGGGGTGGGTAGGATGGCAAGAAGGGGCTGCAAGCCCCACTGCCTGCTGTGCTCAGCCGTGTCACAGGCTCCTCGTGCCACTATCTGACCCCAGTGACAGAGGGGACATGTGCCTGGTGGGTGGCCATGCCAAGGAGAGCTTCAGTCTGGTCCTCCCTGGAGGAAGGACTGGTGACAATGGGAAGAGAATTTCAGAAATCTAGCTTGCATTTAGCTAAGTTGTTTTGTTAGAAGCAGTTCCACTGGCTCATGGCTGCACAGCTTGGAGCAAGGCGCCTTTGGCACTGAGATGCCTTCAGCTTTATACCTGGCGGTGGGGACATCCATCACACTGCAGTCTGGGGTGGCTTTGGGAAGTCCTGTCTGCATTGTAGCTTGTAAACACTCTGCTTTGTATCTGATCTTTAGAGGTCTTTCCTAGGGACTCTTCTATGACACTGAAAAAGTGAATTAATGAGGTTTTTTTATTTGAGTAAGCTCAAAGCATGCAGAGCCCACGTATGCACATGGAGAGCTTTATGGGGGAAGGATGCAGCGGTGTCATTGGCATCTCGGCCACATTAGTTCTTCTTGCACTCAATTACATCCTGCTTTTTCTGGTGGCTTAAAGTCTGTCTGTCTCTCTTGCAGCGGAGTTGGAGTTTGTACAGATAATCATAATCGTGGTGGTGATGATGGTGATGGTGGTGGTGATGATGATGGTGGTGATGATGGTGGTGGATGGAACGTGGTGGCAGCCGGCACAGCCAGGGAAGGCGGAGGGACGAGAACCTCTCATCAGTAAGTCACGCCAAGCTCTTCCAACCCGCGTCGTCCTGCACTGTTTGCCAAATTATGTGAAATTTGGGAAATGTTAATTTGTCTGGGTTTGTGTTTGCCCACGTGCCACTCAGTACTGCATGAAGAGACACCCTCCAGGTTGGGTCTTGGCATCATCTTCTGTCTCTCAATTATGGAGGGGGCCTTTTAGGGATGCCTCTGGCTCTTCAGGGTGCTGTATGTTGTGATATGTGGTCAGCCATAGCCTCTGTCTTTGCCCTTAGCTTTGCAGTTTGAACTTTACATCAGTAAAGTAACTGCACGAGGCTGTTTTTTGTGTGCCCCGTCCTCGAAACCACCACGGACCCTCAGCTGGTTGGGGTGCATGTGCCTTGCCTTTAACAGTCCCAAACTATCGAGTCCTTTGGTGCCTCCAGTTGGAGAGTCTCAGATGACTGTAGAAAAACTTACTGCCTGCCTTGAAGAGAATAAGAAATCCTGAAAGGCTTTGTCCAGTTTTGAGTTCTACCTCTGATGGGGACTCTCCAGCCTTGAGGCAGATGTTGGTTTGTGCAGAGCTGGAGGGTTTCCTCAAAAGCAAGAGTTCAGAGAGACTTATGAGAAGCTATAGAGAAAAGACATCACATTTTCTTGGAGGATGATCACGTACTGTCACCACTGCCTACATGGCTCTTTCTGCCAGTGCAGGGATATCTTGTACTGATACACATTTTTAATTTAGCATTCACCCTGAAGGATCTTAAAGCTCTTGAAACAATAGGGCTTTCTCAAGGTCGCTGCTTCTTGCTCTCCTTTGCAGGCTTCCAGGGCAGACAGAGCGCACTGGTGCTGCCTTGTGGTGGTCTGTGTGGGGCCGTGCTCTCCTGTATCTAATCCATGCTCGCTGCAGGAAAAAGATCAAATACAGGGGTTGCTTTATTTTTTTTCTTCAATTTTTCTTTATTTTTTCTTCTCCCCCCCCCCCCCCCAAAAAAAAAAATAAATATCTAACATCTGGTTTGGGAAGTCTCCAGGACAGTGCTGTTGAAGGCTGTCCAGCCAGCAGACACCCAGGGCGCAGGCTGTCCCTCTGCTCCATAGTTGCTCTCATTTTGTCACACATTACACAGAGCAGACGAGGGTCCCTTATCCGATGTTCTGTGCCAAAGAGAGGAAGACAGCCCTTGGAAAGGAGAGCTGGGCAAACCCCAAGCTCAGTTAAACCGCCCTTCATTTTGTGGGCTGTGGATTGTCTCTCTGGAGGTCACGGCATTGAGCTCGTGGTCGTTTATCGACACAGCGGAACACAATCAAGTGCCAGGAGTGCCTGATCCTGCCATAAACCGGCCGGCGCGAGGGTGGTGAGTGCTCAAGCGTTTGCCTGCTTTGGGGATCGGAGCCGCACTCCACACGTGTATCCCTGCTCCTCCCAGTGTTACAGAAATCCCATGTCCCTTATTGTCCCATGCACCTGCTTCCGACAGCAGAAAGATGTGGGCACTTGAGCATGTGAGTTTTTAAAAATAGCAGAAAGGTTGTTTTCTCATTTTCAGATTTTTCACTGTTCTATCATATTCAGAATATTTTACTTGAACAATAGCAAAACGTTTCCTTTTAGATTTTCGAAGCAAGTGTTAGATCAAGCCTTCTTTATTTTAATATACTAATTTATGTTTTCTTAAGTGCCCTATCTTTTCTTTAAAAAGAAGAAGGCTAACATGGGAAGAGAAGAGAAAATCACATGGAGATTGAATAAATATTTCAGATTGCGTCAAAAAATTAACTGTTTAAAAAAATGACTTTTCTTCCTTTTTTCCTTTTTTCTTTTTTTTTTTTTTTTTAAATTTCACTAGGCCAAAATTTCTAGCCACTTTTTTTGTCCCAGTCCTCACACCAAAACAGCTTTGTTATTTATTTAGCCTTCAGACACATCAACGATTGAATGGCTTTTCAGCAAAGTATGTCTGCCAGACCTCAGTGAGGATGTGGATTCTTTAAAACTTTTATTGGAGCTAAGGAGAGAAATGCAAATTTGGGGGGTTTTCCCCTCTTTATAACTCTTCCCCCTGCCCCTTTCTCTGCTGCGGGTGCAGTGTTGATGGAGTGCCAGCCGAGTGTCCCTGTGGCCTGAGCAGCTCCTGATGGGACAGAGAAGCCCCTTGTGCACTAAACAGGAAGCTCGTTCCAGTGGGATTGATCATCATAAGGATTTTAAAGGTAGCTCCTTTTGGATTCAGCACAATGTGTCTTTTTGTAGAAAACAGCTCCAGTCTAAATAAGTGCTGAAGGCTGGCAGGGAGAGGCTACATTGCATTGCATACTGGTTTATGTAACCCATTAAACTTGCACTGAACTGGTGTTGGGCTTTTTAAATCCCAAACTTCATTTTGTTGTCGTGACCACAGATGGGCACTGGAGCTGCACACACACTTTTCATCTTCTGAAATATTAAAGTAGTTCATTCCATGGTCAGGAGGCTGCTGGGTCTGCCGGACTTGTCCTTTTTTGTTGTTGTAGCTCAGGAATTGAAACTGAAGGGGAAATTAATTTCCCTAAAGGTTTTTTTTTTTTTAATTTGGTTCTTGCTAGAAAGGAATTCTTACATTATGTAGTGTATTTCTCCATCACTGTTTGCACTGTACCTAAACTGTCTCCTTAGAACAAGTACCTTTGTTTTTCCAGAACTAAGACTATTTAAGAAATGCTGCTAAAAACTTTTTTGCAGTAAGACTGCCACTGTCCTCACACCTTTGGAACAGTGCGATCCCATTCCCCCAAGAGAAAGTGGTTTGAATACAATTTTCAAGCATATCTGTGTTCCTCAAAGTGGAAAATATAAATCCTCCTGAAGGCTCAGAGACTTAATCTGCGCCATTCAGCTGTACAGAGAAGATTCTCTGACTTCACTAAAACAAGTGGTTCATTGATCTCTAAAAAGAAATTAAAAAGTAATTTCTGCAGTGAGTCCTGGGATACTCTGAGGCTTTTACAGCCATGGTGCTTATCAGAATCTCAGCTTTTGTTTAAAAAAAACATAGCTTTCTAGACCCAGCCAGTGGTGAGATGAAGGCAAGTCTGAAATATTCCAAAAATCAGAGGTGAGTGGGGAGAGCCCTGAGGATGAGGATGGACAGTGGTGATGTGGGGGGCAGGGCAGCAGTTTTGCTTGGCTCGGGGGGGCTGTGTAGCCATCCCACAGCCAAAGCACGGAGGCTCCAAGTATGTATGTTTTTGTCTCTGAGGTTTTGTGGGAAGCCCCGGGCTGAGCACGGCGATGCTCCGCACACCGGGAAGCGCCGGGCTCAGCCGCCCTCGCAGGAGCTGGCTGACATCACTCCCGGGAAAGGGGGAAGCAGATGGGCTATTGCCATGGCACTGCCCACTGCCAAGTTAAATATAAAACATCGAGCAGAAGGCAGCGGGGTACTCGCTGCTCAGGAAGTCTGCCACGGGGACGTGGCAAAGTAAACACAGTTTTCAGAGTGCTTCCCGCTCCTGCCCGCTGCTTCGGCATCCTTCGGGGTGAGGTGAAGGGCTGGCAGCACGTCTGGCAGTGCTGGACACCCTGCCTGTGCCCTTTGGTGTCAGCACCGTGGCCAAGCCGGGGGTTAGAGGTGAGGAGTTATCTGTGGCAGATGCAGTTCCTCTTGGGTCTTCTGGCTGCTGGGGGAATTTGACTGTAGACTATCCCTGCAGGCCAGAAATACATGTAAAACGGACCAGACTAAACAGTTGGTGCCTGTGTCAACAGTTGCACTGTGAAGTCTCAAGGTCTCTATTAAACATGGCATTGCATTGCTCAGGAAGGGCACACAGCTCAACCAGCACGTTCTTTAGCTATAGCCAGGGAGGGTGCCAGTACTGCAGCACTTAACCTCTGCTCCAAGGAGATGTTCCCTAAAAAACACTGAGAAGCGGGAAGAATCTGGGCCATCTCATTTCCATATAAATCACTGTTTTCCTTGCACTGGCAACAGGACTGCCTTGAGGTTTATGTGCAGAGTTGAGCTTCAAAAACAGGAACCTGATGGGATTCTCTCCATATCTGATACCATGTGGGATGCCATGAGAGAAAATATATTAGACAGTTGAGGAAAATAAAGAAGAAGGAGCAGGAGAGAGGAGGAGGTGGGGGATATAATAGGTGGCTTCTTTGGAGATGTTAACATGGTGCTGGAGCTGTGTTTTGGGCAGTGGGATGGGTGTTGTGGGGTGCCTGGGTGCTGGTGCTCTCAAGGCGCTTCTGAGGGGAGCGGAGATGCTGCTCAGCGCCCGGGCTGGATATAAGGAAGAAATTTTTTACAATGAGGGTGGTGAAACACTGGCCCAGGTTGCCCGGAGAGCTGGTAGAAGCCCCATCCCTGGAAACATTCAAGGTCAAGCTGGATGGGGCTCTGAGCAACCTGATCTGGTTGAAGATGTCTCTGCTCACTACAGGGGGTTTGGACCAGATGACCTTTAAAGGTCCCTTCCAACCCAAACCAGTCTATGATTCTGTGATTTTCTTTCCACTGGTGGTAAATACTCCTGACACCAGCAAGTCAGGCACAGGCAGAACTGGAGATTCCCCTGCAAGGAGCCACAAAGTGCCAGCTATTCCAGGTTATAATTATGAACATTCTGGCTTGTTTTCCTCCAGCTTTGCCTGCCTGAGGGATGTTGCTGGATGTGAATATTAGCAATATTTAAATATTTTAGTTCTTGAGGCAAAAGTGCCTAGGGTGAACTGTGTACGCTCAGAGTATCACCAGCAAATGGGAAGAGCCTTTGTTTGTTTGTTTTGATCACAAATTGTAAACTAATCTCATGGTTTGGGGGAAATTGGCTTGTGGCTTTATCATGCCTGGGGTTGTTGGCGCCTGGGTTTGGATTGTAGGATCAGGGTGATGCTTGTGTGTGAGGAAGCATCTAGATCACGGTTCTTCAGCCTATTTAAGCCACTTACCATTTTAGGGAAAAAATACTCTAGAGCCATCCCGTTGCTACAGATTTCTGTTGTTTTTTTTGGGTTTTTGGTTTTTTTTTTAGCCAAATCAAAATTAAGCTAACATTTGGTTATTTACTTATTAGCTTTATTTTCCCATGATTTCCTTGATTCTGTGCATCAGAATGTGGGTGTGAGGTTTTTCTCTTTAAAAAAAAAAAAATTCTTGTCATTATTTCATGGAGCATTTTCTGATGTCTTGTGAATCCCCCACGACTCACGGATCACAAATTGAAAAATACTCCTCTGGCATGTTTGAACCAGGGAGAGAAACATGCTGGGTGGGTGTGGGTGGGAGGGGGGGAAGTCTGTAAATGGGAGAGCGTTGTTTGTTGCTGTCGTTCTCATCATTCATTCTGCAAGTGATCTATTAAATATAAATGGAGGTGAAAATGGAGGGAAATCTTCATCAGAAGTGTTGTTTTCAGTGGTAATCTGCTAATACCCTAAGTATATACCCATGTGGTACCCAGCACGTGTGATGACAGCTGATACCCTTAGTGGAGCGGGTTGTCTTGTTGGAAGAGGGTCTGTGCCGTGTGTTGCTGCGGCCGGGGCCGGAACCCGT